CCAATCAAAACACGGGCTCTATTCACGTGATTTATTTGTGTGACACTTCACAAAATGGCGGACGCAATTTCAGATGAACATGAGGCCACTTTTAAATTTATCGAAGAGGTTGACAACTGTCCGGCTGTGTTGGACGTTTCATCTGTAGACTACAAAGATACTAAAAACAAACAAAAAGAAAATGGAGGAGCTAGCGAACAAACTGGGTTTCGTCCAAACCTTGTTATATAATAATTAAATGAATGCGCGCGCTCTGATTGGTCAATCAGCTATGGTTTATTGTGCCAGTAAACTCATGGAAATTTCGCGTGTCTTCTGAATTATTATATACAAGCAATAGACCACAAGTTTTTATGGTTTATAGACCGATAAACCGCGCGGGATGTTGGAAGAACACGAGAGGAATTCGTAACTCACGAGCCGCAGGCGAGTGATTTACGAATTCTAAAAACTTGTGGTCTATTGCTTAACTATTTCTCCACCGCTTCCCGTTTCTTCTCTTCTCTTCTTCTGTTTCACTGTTCTACGTGAGTGCCACTGCACTAAGTCGGCCATGTTGCAAATTATCGCGTGTTGTGATTTGACGGGACTTTGACGTGTGAAGGTACGAGTTTGCCAACTTTTTGAAGTTTGCCAACACGAGTTTGCCAAGTTAAGTTTGCCGTGTGAAGGCCACTTTAGAGGGGGGCTTACAAAATGCTGAGGGAGTGCGAGAAAGGGCTGGGGGGGGGTACCTGTGATGGACTCACCCATCCTGGGGGGAGTAGAAGCATTACTACCAGTGGAATCGCGTCGTGCTCCAGAAGCGAGAGTTATGCGGAAAGTCCAGTGATCCATCTAGAAAAATGCAGCAGTGAGTCCCGGGACTCACACAGCCAAAAACCTGTGAGTCCCACACACAGGAGTGTGAGACCCACACTCATCATTATATGAGTTGTACCTATGAATGACACATTCAATTAAATGAGCTTTGTATTTTGTTAGTTACTTTTTTTTTTAACCTTGGAGGGCCATCTTGTGTTCGAGAAGACCAGCATGCCAATTTAGGGTGGTGTTTGAAAGCTTCTTTACTCATTCCGTTCGATTCTAGCCTCCGAGCAGACTTTTACAATACATATAATTTTCATTTTTCTCGTAGACCAGCCACGAATATGTTTTGAGCCGCGGCTCAAAAAAATCTTCGTTCCTTAGATTTCGCAGAGTTTGCTTGTGCTGATTCTTCATTATCTTCATTCGCTTTTGCATCATCCTTCTCTATTGCAGTTGCTGCTTCTTGTTCTTGATGTTTACTTGCTTCAGGCTGTTTTGCAAATGAGAGCTGTGTTTGCCCTTAAAGGGGCTTAAGTTTTTTCTTCCGTCGCATATAATTGGAATAACAATGGCCGCCTTACGAAAGCAAGCAGGAAGAGACAGAAAGCACGTGTATGGAATCGAAAACCATACACTTCTGTAAA